TACAGGAAGCCCCTGCCCCGGGCTTCCTGGAATCAGCCGCTGACTTGGGGATGCCTGGGGTTCTTAAGTTGAATCTGTATGTAAGTCAGAACTGGCGTCCAGATTCAGCCACTGTTGAAACTGATCAGTTTCAGCAGCGGCTGGACGCCAGTTCCGACTTACATACAGATTCAACTTAAGAACAAATCTACAGTCCCTATCTTGTACGTAACCCGGGGACTGCCTGTATATATATATTTAGGGCTGTCAATTGACATACGTTAACACCTGCGATTAACACAGTCCAAGTTTAATGCATTACATTTTGTAACACGTTAATCGCAGGCGTTAATGCTGCACTGCCCCTCTGAAGTACTGCTGTGGTGCTTCAAAGGGGCAGCTCAATGTTGAGCCTGGGGTCAGCTGTAGAGTCCCCAGCTGACTCCGGGCTCCACTGCCCCTTTGAAATGTGCAGAGGCGGCGTTTCAAAGGGCCAGCCGCCTCACAGCTGATCTGGGGCTCCCCAGCTGACCCCAGGTTCAGCTGCCACACAGAGCTCAGGATCAGCTGGGCAGTCCCCAGCTGACCCCAGGCTCCCCGGAAGCTGCCCCTTTAAAATGCCAGATTCTGCATTTTAAAAGGGCAGCCATGGAGCCCGGGATCAGCTGAGCACTCTAGCTGATCCTGGGCTCCCTGTTGTGCTGCCCCTTTGATGTACCACTGTGGCGCTTCAAAGGGGCAGCACTGCATGGAGCCCGGGATCTGCGGCAGCATTTCGAAGGGGAAGCGCATGCAATTAATTGCGATTAAATTTTTTAATTGCTTGACAACTCTAATATATTTATTAATTTCTAAGGGTATGTCTACACAGCAGGGCAAAAGTCAAATTAAGATACACAACTTCAGCTATGTCAATTGCGTAGCTGAAATTGAAACAGCTTAATTTGTCTTTTGGAGCTGTCTGCGCAGTATGAAGCTGAAGGAAGAGCACTCTTCCTTTGACTTTCCTTACTCCTCATACAATGAGGGTTATAGGAGTCGGAGTAAAAAGTCATCCATCTCGACATAATTTTGAAATAATTGCTTGATGGATAGACACGCATTTTGTTATTTCGAAATAATGTCAGTTATTCCGAAATAATGCTGCTGTGTAGATGTACCCTAAGATGCCACAGGACTACTCGTTGTTTCTGAGCTACAGAATATCCTTCACCATATTGGTCAACACTTCTTGCAGGGATACAAACAATACAGACAGCCTTAAAAGGGGGAGAGGATTGGAATATTTTGAAATGATGGATTTTCTAGTGTTGACTTTGTGAGCAATTTTGCAAATGTGACACCATTAATATATTTGATCCAGAGTGAAATTTCACTTTTTCCAGTCTGGTTCTATGCAAATAAAATTCACCTTAACCCTCTGAAGAAATAACTGTTCCTGCAATGTCCTGATGTAGAAGGTCCTTACATTCATAAAGTTCACTTTGTCAACACAAAAGTTATAGCACAGACTGTTTCATTTTTGGTGAGCAAGGAGAAAGCCTGATTTCTCAGTGGTAGCAAGACTTCCACAGGCAGACAAGATTTCACTCTTCCCTCTGCTTACCAGTGACTAGAGGCAGCAGCAGGCTCATTGAGGAGATGAGCCTCTGAGTGCTACTGCTGTACATTCAACAGGACCCAGGCAGCTGTCTCTGTGCATAGCATATGGCAGGGCTAGCCTTGAAGGGCCTCCTCCGCCTGATTTGCTAAGTGCTGTGAGGCTCTTGTATAGCTGAGTGTGTGACTCCCTCTGGTGGGGAAAGCAAGCTATGCCCATGTAAAACCATCTAGCACCCTGCAAATTGTATGTAGTTTTACCCTTGCTGCTCAACTTCAGAAAGGATAACCTGCAGCCACATTAATCATATTCATAGGTAGGGATGAGCTCCAGCAAAGAACTCCTCTCCACAAGCACTAATGTATTACCAGAGATGCTGAGCTTATGGTGCTGTGGGTGTTCTGCAGCGCAGGGCTGGGCCTAAAGAAGGTGAGCAATATGCCTTCTGCCGCTCCATCGCTCTCTCCCCTCCTGATTTCTTCTCTCCCATCAGCTCCACCATAGCACTGCCCCCTCCCTCTGGCCCTCTCCAGGCTCAGTACCCTCACTCTGCTCCCCATGGATGGGGCCCATCAGCTTTGGGGATATTTCATCCCACACTTGATATCCTGGCTATCCCCCCACCTCCCATCTCTGTGCCACAGCCCCTCCCTCTCCCAACTACTCCCTCCCTGGGCCTTCAAGGAACCCCCTCTGCCAACATTGCATCACAGCTCTTCTCAACTGCCCCCTCTTTCCTTGTGACATGTTCCTCCTTAGTCTCCCAACCCCTCCTCCTCCCGACTTCCCCCTCCCTGTGCCGCAGACCCTTTCTCTCCCCCCTCCCCATGCCATGGCCCCTCCCTCACCTATTCTCTCCCTGTGCCCTGGCCCCTTCCTCATCCACCCCTCCTCTCCCTGTGCCATGGCCGCTCCCTCACCCACTCTCTCTCTGTGCCATGGCCCCTCCCACATACAACCCTGCCTCCCCCCCCCCCGCACTGCCCCTCCTCCTCCCGACTTCCCCCTCCCTGTGCCGCAGACCCTTTCTCTCCCCCCTCCCCATGCCATGGCCCCTCCCTCACCTATTCTCTCCCTGTGCCCTGGCCCCTTCCTCATCCACCCCTCCTCTCCCTGTGCCATGGCCGCTCCCTCACCCACTCTCTCTCTGTGCCATGGCCCCTCCCACATACAACCCTGCCTCCCCCCCCCCCGCACTGCCCCTCCTCCTCCCGACTTCCCCCTCCCTGTGCCGCAGACCCTTTCTCTCCCCCCTCCCCATGCCATGGCCCCTCCCTCACCTATTCTCTCCCTGTGCCCTGGCCCCTTCCTCATCCACCCCTCCTCTCCCTGTGCCATGGCCGCTCCCTCACCCACTCTCTCTCTGTGCCATGGCCCCTCCCACATACAACCCTGCCTCCCCCCCCCCCGCACTGCCCCTCCTCCTCCCGACTTCCCCCTCCCTGTGCCGCAGACCCTTTCTCTCCCCCCTCCCCATGCCATGGCCCCTCCCTCACCTATTCTCTCCCTGTGCCCTGGCCCCTTCCTCATCCACCCCTCCTCTCCCTGTGCCATGGCCGCTCCCTCACCCACTCTCTCTCTGTGCCATGGCCCCTCCCACATACAACCCTGCCTCCCCCCCCCCCGCACTGCCCCTCCTCCTCCCGACTTCCCCCTCCCTGTGCCGCAGACCCTTTCTCTCCCCCCTCCCCATGCCATGGCCCCTCCCTCACCTATTCTCTCCCTGTGCCCTGGCCCCTTCCTCATCCACCCCTCCTCTCCCTGTGCCATGGCCGCTCCCTCACCCACTCTCTCTCTGTGCCATGGCCCCTCCCACATACAACCCTGCCTCCCCCCCCCCCGCACTGCCCCTCCTCCTCCCGACTTCCCCCTCCCTGTGCCGCAGACCCTTTCTCTCCCCCCTCCCCATGCCATGGCCCCTCCCTCACCTATTCTCTCCCTGTGCCCTGGCCCCTTCCTCATCCACCCCTCCTCTCCCTGTGCCATGGCCGCTCCCTCACCCACTCTCTCTCTGTGCCATGGCCCCTCCCACATACAACCCTGCCTCCCCCCCCCCCGCACTGCCCCTCCTCCTCCCGACTTCCCCCTCCCTGTGCCGCAGACCCTTTCTCTCCCCCCTCCCCATGCCATGGCCCCTCCCTCACCTATTCTCTCCCTGTGCCCTGGCCCCTTCCTCATCCACCCCTCCTCTCCCTGTGCCATGGCCGCTCCCTCACCCACTCTCTCTCTGTGCCATGGCCCCTCCCACATACAACCCTGCCTCCCCCCCCCCCGCACTGCCCCTCCTCCTCCCGACTTCCCCCTCCCTGTGCCGCAGACCCTTTCTCTCCCCCCTCCCCATGCCATGGCCCCTCCCTCACTCAACACTCCTCTCCCTGTGCCATGGCCCCTCCCTCATCCAACCCTCCTCTCCCTGTGCCATGGCCCCTCCCTCACCCACTCCCTCCCTGTGCCATGGCCCCTCCTCCCAAACCCCGCCCCGCTCCTGTGCCCCAGGCTCCCACCCCACCTTGAGTGTGCTACAGCCCCTCCCATCCCCGACCTTGCATTTCCGCCGCTCTTCTCTCTGCCAGCCCGCCCAGGCCATGGCCCCGCCTCGTCCCGCCCATCGCTAAGGCAGGAACGGGCCCGGAGCGGAGCCAGGAAGCTCTGCACAACCTGCCGACTGCGGGTAAGGAAGTGTCGCAGTAAATAAGGAGAAAGGCTAGAAGCTGGGGGGGCGAGGTTGAGCCTGGGTTCTCCGCTTGGGGGATGAGGTATGGACTAGGTTCTCGCTGGGGGGGCATGCTCGGGGGGCGAGATAGGGACTGGGTTCCCATCCCCCGCGAGGAGGGGAGGGGGAGGGAGTATGCTGGGAGGATACTACAGATGTCTGGGTCTAGCACTTTTTGAATTATAATTCACAGACAGGAATGGTGCTCAGCCAAAAATGAACCTTAACCGCTTGGGGGATGAGGTATGGACTAGGTTCTCGCTGGGGGGGCATGCTCGGGGGGCGAGATAGGGACTGGGTTCCCATCCCCCGCGAGGAGGGGAGGGGGAGGGAGTATGCTGGGAGGATACTACAGATGTCTGGGTCTAGCACTTTTTGAATTATAATTCACAGACAGGAATGGTGCTCAGCCAAAAATGAACCTTAACTGATTACTATAACCCCGCTATTCTTCAGGGATAGAAAGTAATTTACTGAAACCCACAGATAACTGGGCAAACCTCTACCAACCAACCAATGTGCACAGCCTTAAAAATGAGCCAGTTTGGGGGCTGTATTTCTAGAAGGGAAAGGGTTTCACTTTAA